GCGAGATGATGGTTTGGTGCTCAGGGGTGGGGTCATGATCAAGGGGGCGGTAGGAGGAGGTGTCGGAGAGTTGGCGTCTGGCCTCGGCGATGTAGAGGTCAGTGCGCCATACTACAACTGCGCCTCCCTTGTCCGCGGGTTTTATGGTGAGGTTGGGATTGGAGCGGAGGGCTGCACGTTCTGCGGGGGAGAGGTTGGAGTGGGTGAGAGGGGTGGAGAGTTTGAGGCGATTGATGTCTCGAGGGCAGTTGGAGATGAAGAGGTCAAGGGAGGGTAGGAGGCCTTGGGGTGGTGTCCAGGAGGAGGGGGTGTGTTGGAAGAGGGAGAAGGGGTCAGTAGAGGGAGGGTTAGGCTCACGGTTGAGGAAGTAAGCGTGGAGGCGGAGGCAGCGGAAAAACTGCTCTATGTCCAAGCGTGAGCGGTATTCGTTGATCTGTGGGTGGAGGGGGACAAAGGTGAGCCCTTTACTGAGGACTGACCGTTCGTCCTCAGTAAGGGGGAGGTCTGGGGGAATGGTGAAGACTCGGCAGGGCTGGGTGCTATTGTCCCCTCTGGAGCTGCTGGCTGTGGAGGCTGTGGGCAGAGCGACGTCGGCGTCGGCTGTGGGCGGAGTTGCGTCGGCGTTTTCTGATGAGGGGTCTAGGCCCAAAACATCAGCCTTTCTGCTCCTATGATGCTGCTTGGCCTGCTGTGTTCATCCAGCCCTGCACCTTGTTGTCTCGGATTCTCCAGCATCTGCAGTTCCTACTATCTCTGTACGAGAGAGGATCTGTGCGTGTGTGTGTGTGTGTGTGTGTGTGTGTGTGTACACACACTCTATTTCCCGCAAACACACACACTCTTTCTCTCTCTCTCCGCCCCTCACACACACACGCATTCACTCACTCACTCTCTCTCCCCCGTCATACACGCACACACACACATTCACTCTGTCTCTCTCATGCCCCTGACATACATACACTTGCGCCCTCTACCTTCCCCATCCTCCCCGCCACACACACACGGACACATTCACTGTCTCCTGCCCTCACACACACACATGTAAATCTATGGGCTGAATTTGTGTTTGCAGATACATTCTATTTTGTTCAAAAGGCACACAATTTACAAACAGTCAGTCAATGTGGCATTCTTTAAATTCCTAGTTTAGAAATAAAACATGGCTGACTCCAAACCAAAACAGAAATGGATTCTAAACAGATTCTAAAAAGGCCTCACACCTAACATGCACTGTCTGACCTAAAATGCCAACCCTTTACATTGACAAAACCTTTAGTTCTCTCAGGGCAGTGACTTGAAAAGGAATTCAGGGATTTATATATATATATTAATCAATTAAGCCTTCTAAACTGATTAAAGATTTAACAGCATCTTAGTTTTGTGTAATACATCCTCATCAATGGTGTGACTCTTTGGTCTTCTACTTATAAATTGTATGTCTAATGCCACCTCTCTCACTAACACCTGAAGAAGGGGCTAAGATCTGAAAGCTTGTGATTTCAAATAAACCTGTTGGATTATTGTTGCGCTCGCCATGCGGTGTGTTTAGCTTGTATATTCCGCAAAGGACTGTGAGTCGACTCTTAATAGTAGTAGGAAATGATCTTTATTGATTATAACACAATTAATACTATAATAACGATTATGCTACAAACTAACAATTAATACGATAAGTCTGACAATTAACACTAAATCTAAGTCGGTGTCTTGTACTTTAACTTAACTTGGAATGATCAAACATCACCACACTAGACCTTGGCCTTGATCCATGTGGTGATGGTCGTCTGGTCTTCCTCTCCTGGTGGTCCCAGGGGTGCATCTTCTTACGGTGGTTGGTCTCAAGTTACTGCTCCTGAGGGTGCTGTTGCAGTGATTCTTATACTTGGAAGCTTCCGCACCCCTTTGGGAGAATCTTCTCTTCCCACCAATGGATCGATCAGGAATCGATCCCTCTGATTGACTGGACCCAATCAGGCAGTGCCATGTGGGGTGGGTCTTTGGTCCTCCGTTTCTGAAAGTGTCAGGGACACGTAAGTCAGGCAGGCTTCCCAGATAAGAGTGCGAGGTGTCCCTTTGTGCCGGAAACAGTTCGATGTTTCCTATGATACTGGTAAATAGGCTTGGTCAATTGTGTACCGTGCTGTCTGCAGCAGTATCTTTTATCTGAATATTTTGGCCAATGCTTGTTTCAATTTCCCAACATGCTTTACTATCCAATTTTGCCATTTTGAGTGGCCTGTCCGCTACAGTATAACCTGGTGTTGTGTGATTTCTGACCTTGTTTTCTTTAGACTGAGGGAGGACATGATTGAGGCATATAAGATTATGAGGGGTACAAACAGGGTCAATATAGAGCAGCTGCTTCCGTTGGTTGACAGTTCAGTCACAAGGGGTCATAGTTTTATGATAAAGGGCAGGAGATTCAGAGGGAATTTGGGAAAGAACCTTTTCTCTCAGAGGGTGGTAGAAATCTGGAATGCACTCCCTGGGAAGATAGTAGAAGCCGGAAACCTTACAAGCTTTAAAAAATATTTGGACAAATGCTTGAAATTTCATAACATTCAAGGATGTGGGACAAGTGCAGGAAATTGGGATTCGTGCACTTTTCATAAATCTAGAATCCCTACAGTGTGGAAACAGGCCCTTTGGCCCAACAAGTCCACACCAACCCTCAGAGCATCCCACGTAATCTACACATCTCTGAATGCTACAGGCAATTTGGCATGGCCAATCCACTCAGCCTGCACATCTTTGGAATGTGGGAGGAAGCCGGAGCACCCAGAGGAAACCCACGCAGACACGGGGAGAATGTGCAAACTCCACACAGACAGTCGCCCGAGGGTGGAATTGAACCCAGGTCCCTGGTGCTGTCAGGCAGCAGTGCTAACAACTGTGCCACTGTGCCTTTTAGTGGCAGTTATGTCGGTGCAGAATCAATGGCCCCATTATGGGGCTGTATGGCTCTGACTCTATATCGAGAGCTGTTACAGTCGCAGGTCAAGGGAGCTCCTGAGTACTGGAACTGTCCAGTTGATAACTGGTATTAGGACTGGAAGGTGGGTTGAGGTAGTGATTCAGAGCAGGTACTTCCTTAACAACAGTGAGATACCAAGGAGGCCACCCTGAGTGGGGTTTCAGTGTGAAGTAAGTGGGACAAAGGAAAAAGGTAATAGTTGGAGATTAGAAGGACTCTTAGAAAGACATGAGCTGTGACCAGGTCATGAAGCTAATACCAAAGGGAAGATCATTGTGTTTATAGAAGCTATATTCTAATTAAGCACAATAAGTAATAGACAAGAATTCAGTGTTGATAATTTCTGGATCATTTTGCACTGGTCTGTTTGAGGAGAGGAATATGAGGCAGGTCAATGTGTGGTTAAGGCCTTGAGCGGAGGGAAGTGTTCATGTTCTTTGGTAATTGAAGCTAGTTCAGAGGGAAGGGAAAGGACAGCTGTGATTTTTAAAATCTTTCATGGGATGTTGGCATCATTGGCATTTATTGCTCATCTCTAATTATCCTTGAACTCAGTAACTTGCTTGGCCAGTTAAGTGGGCATTTCCAATTTGGCCACATTACTGCCATGTGGAGTCACATGCAAGCCAGACTGTTAAGGAAGTCTTACCTTTCCTTAAATAACATGAATGAGATGGGTTTTTACAACAGTTGAGTGATAGTTTCTGGTCTAGGTTTTAATTCCAGCTCTGACTAATGAATTGAACTTAAATTCCACCAGCTGCAGTGTTTCAGCATATTAGCTTGGGCCCAGTGACATTGCCATCACTCCATTAACTGGACCAATCCACCACCAGCAAAGACTTTGGATCAGCGGGCAGAGTGTCAGTCAATGTGACTGGCAGTTTTGAAGTATTCAGGTCTGAGAATAGATCAGGCAGTTCATAAAGCTATTGGAGATGAAACTGTTTGGTTGGAAGTTCTATGATTTTGACCCTGCGATGAAGGAAGGACAATATGTGTCTAAGTCTGGAAGGTGTGTCACTTGGAGGGGAAACTGGCAATGACATTCCCATAGACCTTTTGCACTTGGTCTTCCGGATGATGTGATGTATTAGCTGTATGACAGTGTATAGATCTCCATGGGATTCATTGGAAACAGACCCTGATTATCGCTATTTCAGCAGAGTGACAAAATATGACAGAATTTCACTGTTAATAAACAATAAATGAGAGTTCACTTGTCCCTAGGGGTTATATTTAGATACAAACTATGTGTATACAGTTAAAGAATGGGAAGGTGTGATGGACAATGGAGAGAGACTAATTGAATCCCTTTATTTTTTTCACTTTCTGTCCTGTCAGATGTCTGACCTGTTAGCGAACCAGTCTCAGAGACCAGAAATCTACACTTTTTTTGTTTCAACGCTTTCACTGTCTCCACATGATGACAAGGGAGAAATTCCACAAGGGTGGCCTGTCTAGTTGTGTTTCTCTTCAGTCCACTGTTGGAACTTGTGGCAAAGTCATAAATCATGTGATATGTGGCACACATTTTAATGGCCCAACAAAGTCAATCCTTCTGAATTGAAGGAGAGGGTTTTTTATTATTTAAACTGTGAGAACAAGAAACAAAGAGACAGTATATTTCTTGATGGGTTTTGAAGGCTGTTCAGGAATGAGTGAATTGGACAAAGAGAATGCTTTGTAACGAAACTCTGGAATTTAAATTTCAAGCTCAAATTAGAGAAATTTAACAACGTATGGGGTGATCAGAGGAGGCTGTAACAGGTAAAATGAAGGTAATTCATGTTTGACAGATATGGTCAATTTTGAAGAATAGAGACAGGCAGATTGTACAGGTTTGAAGACTATGCTTGGTAATTGGTTCACACATATTAATTACCCATTTTAAGAGGAATTATAGCCAACTGATTAGAAAGATGATGATGTGTTTTATTTATTTTTGTGCTCACAGAGCCAGACTCCGTAATCGCTGAGTTCTTGACAGAGTGTAAGAGCTATCACCTATTTCGGTTGACAAAATTCTACCAGGACAGACTAGAACAGGCGATTGAAGGAGGGGTGGATGGCGTCAGCTCATTGTTAACGTATAAGAGGATTTTCAGTGGAAAAGAACATTCGGTAAGTGGAAGGGACACAGGATGGGTTCCAAATATAAATAAATCACAATATTTACAGAATAACAGCGAAGGAAATGCTGACAGCCTCATGCTGTAATAGTGTTGAAGTTATTAATGGATCACAGTCATCAGTTCATCTGCAACAAGCCCAGACATGAAATGAGAAAAACACCAGAACCACAGATAAGAAGTCACTTGTGTCCGTAACGTGTGTCATAAAGAAATGTTAGCTTTCACAATTTTAACAAAATCTTCAATATTTTACAGCAGGAAACAGGATATCTTCCCATATTTATTCATAAACAAAAACAGAAGTTTCTGGAAAAGCTCAGCAGGGCTAGTAGCATCTGTGAAGAGAAACCAGAACTAACGTTTTGGGTCTGGTGATGCTTCCTCAGAACCCATATTTATTGTTTGTATCTAATTGTTCCGCCTAAACTGATCTCTTTTTGTTTAATTTTTAACCAAACTTTTCTGAATCATGCTAGTGTATTATTGATTTGAAAAGATCGAGTTGAATTTCTGCCAGACTTCCTTGAGCTTACATGGCATAATCCTATCTTCGACAAGAATAACCAGTGATTTTGCAAAAAAAAACTTTTTATAAAGACATTGCTCACAGTTTAAAATAAAGCTGCAGGTGCAATTCAGCTTCTACATCTGAAATGACTGAACAGTTAAATTAATCTTATTTCTCACAAGAAGGTACGTATGCAGAGATAGGACCAGTAACGAACCTACACTTCCACCATGAATCAGATTGTAAAGGGAGAATGACATTGAGTTCTACAAACTAGAGTACAAGCATATACGGATTCGGATAGACATCTTCTTAGCAACTTTAAAATTTTATATCACTAGAAATCTGTGTTCCTCTGAGTCTGTGCACTTCCTTACATCTCCCTACCTTCACCTGGTTAGTCGTGGCTGAGTTTGAATCTGGCTTGGTGGGATAGTTGGTGAGACAGAGATAGCCATGCCATTGAATGAGAAAGGAAGATGGTAATGTTGTCCCTTATTGCAGAAAGTGATCAGTTCACAATTCTGTGCGATGAGCATTACTTCCCACTTGTAAACCCAAACCTGGCTGTTATCCGGGGCTTGCTGCACATCGCTGAACACAGTTGGTCCCTGGATATGACACTGAGAAACTGTTACAGTGATGGACTGGAACTAAAATAATTGTCCTCCTGAATAACGACTGTGTGCCTTTGCACAAGGTATGAGGCCAACAAGTTAAGTGTTTTCCAGAAAAAAGGTCATTGACCTGACCATAATTTGGCTTGAGGGGCTGAATGGGCCACTTCTGTTCTTCACTGTTTCACTCCTGATCAAAATGTATCAGGGCCTACCCCAGCAAATGCTTACTGTTGTGAATACCCTGAGACAAAGTTGATGGATAGACCATCCTTGAGGGTGAAATGGCCTATTTCGGATCCCAGATTTCAGATTTTTTTCTGAAGAAGGGTCCACACCCGAAACGTCAGCTTTCCTGCTCCTCTGATGCTGCCTGGTCTGCTGTGTTCATCCAGCTCTACACTTTGTTATCTCAGATTCTCCAGCATCGGAAGTTCCTACTATCTCTATTTCGGATCCCATCTTGCCAGAAGTCGTTTACAGTATTCTCACCCATAGATCAGGATATGGTGCAGTGACTGCTTTCCAGGCTCAGAATAATTGGGGAATAACATTTACTGAGGAGATCCTTTCCTTCTCATTCACAGTGTTTATCTTTCACTCCACTACTCAATCTAACAATAATTATTCTTTGCAGGAAATCACTGAGCTCGCGGAGAAGGGAAACCGAGCGGACAGTTCCAAACTTCTCCTAGACTTGGTGATGGAGAAAGGCTGTCAGGCCCTAAGGGTGTTGTGGGAATCCTTTATAAACATGCGCCATAGGTTACCAAAATTGGATAAAATGCTGAAAGAGATACAGGAACATGGTACAGTAAAGTCTCATTATTTAATTACAGATTGGAGTATTTCATATTTTGCTGTAGTGTTACACAGATCTGAATTAATAAAATTTAAATAATCTGAGCAGGTTCTGATCCAATTTATTACATGGATATCGTCCGAAGTTCATCTGAAATACCCAGTCACCTGAAAGGTAATTAATGATATGGAAATCTGAAACCATTTTATTTCAGTTCTGTAAAACAGAATGTTTGACCTAATAAGCCATTTATTTGGAGTTTTTTAATATGATCATCTAAAGTTCAGAAGCTGGGAAACACGATTCCAGTTTGATGGATCATCCTTCAAATCTCAACTGTTTTCTATAGTTTCAACTTAGGATTTATACAGTTTCTCCTGTATTTGTAAATGTTTGGGAGTTGAATTATTTCATCAAATGAACCTGCTGATCACTGTTATGTATGACTTTTAGAAGGAGAATCCCAATGTGAAACCATGTACACATCTGGCAGGATCCTGTTCACTTAAAAGCCTATTTCTGTGCACTTGGCATTTGGAAATAATAATTTTGAGTCAGACATATTTAATTATGCCTTTCTGATAGAAAGCAGAGACGTGAAAATAAGTGAATTGAATACTTATTTTTATTGAATTACAGGATGTGGGTGTCTTTAGCCAGGCCAGCATCTATTGCCCATTTCTGTTTGCCCAGAGGGTAGTTAAGAATCAGCTACATTGCTGTATGTCTGCAGTCACATGTATACCAAAAAAACTCAAGGATGACAGATTTCCTTCCCTTAAGGACATTAATGAACCAAGTGAGTTTTGTTTTCAACAATTGATGATGGACACATGGTCATCATTAGTCTTTTAATTCCAGGTTCTTCATTGAATTCAAATTTCACCATTTGCTATGGCGGGATTTGAATTCAGGTCCCTAGAACATTAGCTGAGTTTCTGCATTAATAGTCTAGCCATAAAACCGTTCGTCATTTCCTCTACTGAATAGACACTAGGTCTATACCATGGAAGTTGCCCATTCAGCTCAAATGTTCTTTGCATACCCTCTCTCACCTGTATTCCCGTAACCCTTCTGTTTGTTTAGCCAGCTTCCATCCATGTATTCATCTGACCAATTCCTTTCACAGTGAGGTCCACATTCTACATTTCTCTGGGGTAAAGATGTTTTACCTATATTATCTTCTGGGTTCATTGGTGACCACCTTCATTTCCAAATGAGTATCTCCACTCACCTCCACTCTCCATCTATTCCGTCAATTAATCATACTCATGATATGAAATACGTGTATAATGTGAACCTTGCCCTTATCTTTTCTGGAGTGAAATGAGCCCTGCCCTATTCAGAGATAGTAGGAACTGCAGATGCTGGAGAATCTGAGATAACAGGGTGTAGAGCTGGATGAACACAGCAGGGTCTAGGCCCAAAACGTCAGCCTTCCTGCTCCTCTGATGCTGCTTGGCCTGCTGTGTTCATCCCGCTCTACACGTTGCTATCCCTGGCTTATTCAGTCTGCCTTGATAAAGATGACCTTCCACTTCTGTGAGAATTTTTTGAACCATATCTCTTTCATGTTTACAATGCGGAATCTAGAACATTACTATAATGTGGTGTAATTTGTTTTTAATCTAATAATGTCTTAACCATTAGAGGAAAGTTATCACATTTGTAGTAATTTCTCTGGTTAATAATTACCAAAACTAAAAGAATTGAATCTTTTTCTCAACGATCCGTTTCTTTCAAGTGACTTTTTCATGAACTGGGATTTAATTTCTACTCAAATCTAGATTGAATCTGTGCACTAAATGCAACATTTCACTGTCTAGTGAAAACAAATTAAGACTTTTTATTTTCCTTCGACGTTAGTGTAACTAACATTGAAAACCACTTTCTGACTGTTCTAATTGAAGGTGTTCAGCAGAAACATAAGGAGACACTCCGTGCTCAAACAGAAACACTAAGAGTGAACACTATCCTAATAAAGGAGAAGGAGAAGATTTTCCAGCTGATTGATCAATATGCTGAGCTAACGGTTATTTCTACTGTTCGAGAACGGACACTTGTAGAACATGAACTGCTGGCAAGAGGCCGAGACCATGAAGAGTGGAGAGAGAAACATCTCCGTCATGAACTGGAAAAAATCCGAACTGATCAATTGTTCTACAGCAGCTTTTCCCACAGAAAATCTAACTCTGGGAGTTCAGCGGTAGTGAGCGGAGTCCCAGGAATTGGAAAAACAACAATTATACAGAAGATTGTTTATGACTGGGCCATTGGGAAAATATACCCACAGTTTCAGTTTGTTTTCAGTTTTAAATTTCGGGATTTAAACACTATTAACTGTGAAATAAGCCTGAGGAACCTGATACTAGATCAGTATCCTTACTTTGGGAATGTTATCGGAGATGTCTGGAAGAACCCAGCGGGCTTGCTGTTTATATTTGATGGTTTGGATGAATTCAAGGACAGTATTGATTTTTCTGACAGTCGGAGAAGTACACAATCTCCACTCATGTGCACTGATCCTGAACGCTACTGTGAAGTGTCTGACATTGTGTACAGTTTAATCCAGCACAAGCTGCTCCCAGGATGTTCAGTTCTAGTGACCAGTCGTCCCACTGCATTGCGTTTGTTGGAAAAGGCTGAGATCAGTGTCTGGGCTGAAATCCTGGGATTTGTTGGTGATGAGAGGAAGGAATATTTCAACAGGGTTTTTGAGGATCAGATAGTTGCAGCAGCTGTTTTCAAACACGTGGAGGAGAACATGATGCTGTACACCATGTGCTACAACCCTTCGTACTGCTGGATCCTCAGTCTGTCACTGGGTCCCTTTTTCACAGAAAAAAACAGGAAACAGCAGCAAGTTCCCAAGACCATCACCCAACTATATTCCTACTATATTTATAACATTCTGAAAAACCATGGCCGAGAGATTAAAGATCCCCGTAATGCATTACGGAAGCTTGGGGAGATGGCCTTCACAGGAGTCTCTGAGAAGAAGCTTGTGTTTAGGAATGGAGATTTGATCCAGTACAGCCTACAACCTTCCCAGTTCCTGTCTGGATTCATGATGGAACTCTTGGAGAGAGAAAATTCTGTCCACAGTGTGGTTTACACATTCCCGCATCTCACCATCCAAGAGTTTGTAGCTGCACTCGCACAATTCCTGATTGCACATCCTAAGAACATTCAAAACCTCCTGCGTGAAGCCCACAGTAAAGAGGATGGGAGATTTGAAATATTTCTCCGTTTTGTTGCTGGTCTCTCCTCTCCACAGTCAACTCATCCCCTGGAGAATTTTCTGGGTTCATTTCATCATCAAACAACCTGTGACGTGATTGAGTGGATGAAGAAAACCCTTATCAGATTGGCTGGAAGTGGAATGGGTAGCACTGGGAAAAGAAGCCTCCTGACAATGTTGCACTGTCTATTTGAGTCTCAGAATAAAGCACTGGCTCAAGCCACTGTGGGATCTGTGAAAACACTTAATTTTGATGAATTGCGACTGACTCCTGTTGACTGCGAGGTCCTCTCTCATGTCATTGGGTTCAGTGATTCAATGAAAGAGCTCACACTGCAGAAGTGCTATACTCAGTGTGAAGGACTTCAGAGGCTGGCATCTGTTCTACACAAATGCCACATCTTGAGGTAACTGCTTGGTTAGTACTTTCATTGTTGATAAATTACTTACGATGTTGCAAAAGAATCAAAGAAAGCACCTTTTTTTTGTTCAAGAAAAGGAGGCTGATTCAGAAAAATTTCAGAAAGTAAGGCGAGTATAAAATGCTGAGGTGAAAAATAAGAATGATGCTTTTGCTAACCAGTTGTTGGTGTGCTTCATGGATTCTTGTACAACTTGACCATGGAAATGAAATGAAAAGGAAAAATGTGGTATTTATTCACAAGACTAAAATATAGATATTCTAAGGATTTTAAACACCAATGCTGTGAAAATAAATTTTAAATGCAATACTAATAATTTAGAACATCAGTTTTAAGCTGTACAGATCAGAAGGGAAGACAATGCAAGTGTCATCAGAAATAATACACTGGTTCTTTACAAGCAGTGGAAAATATTTTAAATTGAGATAATTACATAAGTTGGGTATTTGAAATTAATTATTCATGTCAATCACAGTTCAGTAGAAGAAACTTGCTGTTTTAACAACTCCAAATCACCAACTGTCCAGCACACTGACAGGATCTTGCACATAGAGGACAGTCTCTGATAAAATTCTCAATGTTAAACAACAGGATTTTCTAACAACTTCCATACGTGAGCACCTGCTGGGAGTTGGGGACTCCTAGAAATTCCCTTGAAATATAACAATAGCTGCACCTGCAGTAAATATGCAGCCTGTTGAATGGTGAATAAAGTGGGAAACTAGAGATCAGCAATATTTCAACAATACAGTAACAGAGAGTAAAATTTCTTTCTTGCGTAAGTAGAATATTTTTAGCAGCAGATAATATGGTTTCATAATATTATTCACCATGAAACAGTATGAAGATGAAAATGATGTGCAGTTATATAGTGCAAGTAATTGCTGCTTTATCATTTAATTCATGGAAAATTGTGCTGTTGTCATAAATTCCCAGATTTAGGAACATCCAGAATGAGAGAGATTTCCAAAAGTTGGTAGAGTCAGTCACTGAGCCTCTGACGATTAAATCTGATTATCGAGGATTGATACTAATGTGAACAGATAGAGAGGTTCTCTTCTGTCTCTAATAAATGTGGTTTTAATTTATTTTCTTATGTATTTTCCTTTTAGAATTAGGCCTTGCTGTTTTCCCCAACATTTGTACTCGTGAAATTCAATTTTTAAATGACTTTCAAAAACTCTCGAGGATTAAAACAAAAAGCTTGATTTATACAAACAGGCGACTGGGGAATACATCACAAGCACGTATGCAAGCACAAACACACTTGTATACGGACACAGCAAAGCAGGAAGAGAAAAGGAGGAAACAAAGTTAAAAAATATGAGTCACTTTAGAAAATAAGATGTTTGGCATTGATTAATGTGAATTTGAGTCCAGTAATTCGATGTCCAATGATTGTTTGCAGCTAGCTAGTAGCAGCTCTGCTGGTGAATTACAGTTGAAGGTGCAGCAATAAAATTATTTTATGTGAGGTATTAGTTTACTTTGCAGGCTATATAGGATTCTCACCAGAAATAAAACTTTTGAGAGACTATAAACAGTTGATGTATAACTTTATGAATTAAAACTCTAACAGCATTATAAAACTCTCCCTATACACACAGACACACCGTCAGAATTTAAAAAAAGGTGTTACTGATGGAGGGGAAAAACATGAAGATAATACAATAGCCCTTCTCCATTGAGTTCACTGAGATGATCTTTTGCCAGGACTTGCTGTTCTTTAATCGCTCTTCTCTAGGTTCGCTGCCTTGCAGGAGGCACTGAGTGACTGATTCACAAATTGTAAAGTCTCTGAGTTCTTGTTTAAAAGTAAAACATCCCAGCGAATGGTGATGAAAAATAAACTGGTTTTCCTCAAGCTTCAAGTATTTTCCAGTGCAGAGAGAGACACACTGCCTCCCCTTCAAGAGGTCTGAAGACTTCTGGCAGTGTCATTCACACCCACAAGCTGTTCAGCTCCCCAAGAGCCAATGACACATTTGATGGCAGACATGTGACCTTTGTCATCCACAAACCAATCAGCTACTTGTTGCAGGCCAAATCTTATTTTGTACACACCCTGTGGGACCAGCCTGTCTGCAGCCAATTGTCCTCACTGATCAAAGCAGCAATGTAAATGCCACTTACAAATGAGTGTTGGAAACTTGCTTCAGAGTGCTGCAATCCCTTCCATAATTTTTGGTTTTAACACTGTCCTTTTCCTATTTCAGCCCCCAATCAAAAATACAGGAAAAAAACAAAAGATAATACTTGTATACTTAACAGAAAAGCAAAACCTGCTCCTGTTTTTCAGCCTGCTGGTGAAAATTCAGTCCCTATTAATGCATTTTTCACTGTCTCTATGTTTAGATTGAGTGATAATAATCTGGGAAACTCTGGAGTGAGATTACTGTGTTCTGCTCTGAAGAATCCAGACTGTAAAACAGAGAGATTGGAGTAAGTAACAGAGTGAAAAGCTATTCATAATAACTGGATATCTGACATTGTTTGTTATCATTGTCATGAGGAATAGTGTAATCTATAATGTTATATATCATGGGTATTTGTAATAGTATTAAAATGGACATGGGACAGGATGCAACAAGACAATATTGCATTTGTTGTTGGTTATAGGAACACCAAATATTGAGATCTAATGCTGTAATATATGATTGGATCTGTATCAAATTCCAGTTGCAGACAAGGGAAAGGTGAATTGTATTACTTTATGGCCTTTCTATCCGTAAGAGCTAACTTTTTAATTGTAGGTTAATGATCAACTGTGAAAAGAGTTAAGTGGCTGAATCTTACTTTCTTTTGTATCAGTGTCAGTTTCATCATGTTTCACAGAGGCTTCCTGCATCTGGGACCTTGTGAGTTTTCTTGTGCTATCATCCCAATCTTTCCTCATTGCCGACTTAGTCTGCCCTATAGTGCCCCTCCTTTCTGCTGCTAGCCCAATTTCAACACCTCTCACTGCCCGCATATCCTAGAGAGGTCTGGCATCCCTTGCCAAGCTTTAAAATAATTGTGCACCCAGAAAAGCAGTGTCAGTCCAGATCTGTCCTTCGTGGATCCTGACATCTGTCCCGGACATAGCAGGTAAGGGGAATTTGGCACCCTGCTTTACAGATAGGCAACTGAAAGTCCTGCTGAATGGGATTGTGCAGAAGAGGGCCCTTCTCTTCCACCAGACTGACAGAGTAGGCCACAACACCAGACCCTACCACCCTGGTCTGAGGATGCCACCTGGGTCAGTATGGTCTCAGCAGTCTGGAGGAATGCCCTGCACTGTAGGAGGAAGGACAATGATTGTTCCTGATCCACTACAGTAAATGACACAGCCTACTCTCTGCTTCCTCATACTCACTGTGTCTCTGCTACTGCATGCACCTCACACCCATTTGAGTACTCACTATTGCATGCACCATCTTCTCTCACTCGCTCTTACTCACCCAATCCCTCCACATCATTAACCTTGCATGGCCTCTGTGCTGCCTACTCAGAAGACTTCACCACATTTTCTTCACCATTGCGAGCGGTGACAGTTGTGCCACCTGCTTTCATTTCCCTCAATCCATTCCCTTCTCTAATTTCAGGAGAAAACGACCAAAAATAAGGCAGAAAGATTCAAGACAGGTGGTGGCCTGCCCAATATTCATCTCCTTTCCCCTCATGTAAGGAGGACCCTGACTCTGACCACTCCAAGCGGCTGACTGTGTCCAAGCTTGTGGACTGGTATTAGAGGCTGTCTATGATTCTCCTTTGAGTGTGTACTGACGACATGTAAATTTCCTTGCTGTATTTCTGCTCTAAACAACAGGGCAATAAGCAGTACTGTAAGCTTTGTATCTTTGGCTAAAGGTGCAAAGTGCAACAAGGCAAGGCAAAACAGGGATGCCGTGAGCATCTGGGTAGGCTCAAACTGATTGCACACTAAGAGGTAATCTGGTCCGAACTATCAGCTTGGTGCCTGTCAGTGAGCACAAAGTGTCTTTGCAGCAGCATTGCAATGATAATCTCTGGTGGACCCCGAAATGCAGCTTTAAAGGGCAGAAGCAGATTGTAAATGGATCAGAGCTGTGCCATGTTGGTGCACTTACGTAGGCTGGTAACAAAGAATGATCACTATTAATAGGCATTTTATCATTTCATAATGAGAACGTCTTCTCGACACCTGGAAAATTCAACTAGTCAGATGTCAAGATAGGCCTCGTTAGACATCACATGTGACTTTTCCAGTTTCCCACTATGGCCGGCATTGTTCAGGCCACTATAAGATTCTGTTTTAGTGCTGTGACCTTTATTCAGAACTGGTAAGAGCTGGAGATGTAATTCAGTTTTCATAAATAACGTTTGCGCCAGTCAAATACTAAGCATTAACCATCTCCAATAAGAGACAATTTAACCACTACCCTCTGACATTCAATAGCGTTATCATCACTTAATCCCCCACTGTCAATATCCTCAGGGTTACCAATTGACCAGAAGGTCAACTGGATTAGCCACATAAGCACAGTGTCTTCAAGAGCAGGTCAGATGAGAGGAATACTGCAGTGTGTAACTCAACACCTGACTCCCCAAAGGCTATCCACCATCCACAAGACAGAAGTCAGGAGTGGGATGGAATACACTTGCCTGGATGGGTGAAGCTCCAACAACACTCAAACTTGACAGCATCCAAGACAGAACTGCCTACTTGATTGGCACCATATGCACAAACATCCACTTTCACCACCATCAACGCTCAGTGGCGGCAGTTCTATTATCTCCAAGATGCACTGCTGAAATTCACCAACGATCCTGAGACAGCACCTTCCAAACCCCGACCACTTGCACCTAGAAGGACAAAGGCAGCAGAAACACCTGAACAGCACCACCTGCAACTTCCCCTCCAAGACACTCACCACCCTGACTTGGAAAGCTATTGCCATTCCTTCACAGTCCCGGGGTCAAAATCCTGGAATTCCCTACCTAACAGCATTGTGGGTCAACCTACAGCAAGTCAACGAGAGTGGTTCGAGAAGGCAGCTCACCGCCACCTTCTCAAGGGCAACGAGAGATGGGCAATAAATGCTGGCCAACCAGCAATGCCCAGTCCCATGAAATAATAAAAGGAAATGTACTTAGGCAGTGAATGCGGAGAGGGAAGATAAAGCAAAGTGGAATATGAGTAATAGAAAGCAGAAAAGGAGAAATAACAAAATCCAGATGATGCAAAACAAAAAGGAGATAAAGTATTGGAAGGCCTGAAGACATGAGTCCGAACTGTGTCCCCACTGTAGAAATGGGCTGAGGGCTGGGATTTTTGTAGAAATGGCTGCCAAGCTGGTTGAGGGGAAAGCACAATGTTTTCGTTTTGGAAGTCGATATCACTGGAGGTGGCCTGACTGACAGGAGGTCATGCTTGAACCAAGTGGGAAGGTAACTAACCCTCTTAAACAGGCAATTAAGTGATTTCACAAGCTTTTCATTTCCCTTATAAGGAGGATGCATACATACAATTGAGCATAGAATTTAACTGTAAGGTCAGTCTTGCAATTGGCAGCCATTGCTACAGGTAACTTGATTTGGCAACAGTTTGGCATAAAGACAAATTGTCTGTCACAGTGGGGGCACTCTGAGTGTCCTCTCTGACTTGGTATTTATATTGGCTGATCCCAAACCTCTTGTCTCAATCTGTCCAGCTATTTGCACAGCTTTCTGTGGATCCTAGCTCCTTGCTTCTAGCCACAACATCCAAAGCAATCTCATCATCCTGCTGTCATTAACTCATATGGAGTTAATCCATTGCCCTGCTGAGTGTTGCCCTAAGTTCCATTTAACATACATGGCAGCAGATCTGTCCATCTCTGTCATGTCCTCTGTCTGGCTTTAGCTAATTCTCTATACATAATGTCCGATTCATTCACACTACCATTCCTAAGATCTGCAGACGCTGGGTTCAACAAAACCATTGTTTGATTCCCATCAACTTACAAGCTTCATAAGAACTTAAGAAATAGGAGCCATTTGGCCCCTCAAGACTGGCCTGCCATTCATAAGATCATGGCTGATCTGCTCCAGGACTCAAGACATCTTTTGTGCTAGCTCCTCAGAGCCCTTAACTCCCTGATATTTCTCTGGGAAAATAAATTCCTTTGCATTTCAGTTTTAAATAAATTTTTCCCTGTTCTCTAATGAAGTCCCCCAGTCTGAGATTCCCCCACCAGTGGAAATATATTCTCAACATCTACTCTGTCAAGGCCTGAACCCCTCCCCGCCCCCCAAAAAATCAACTTGTACATTTCAATAAGACACTATCTCATTGTTTTAAAACAAAAGAATAAAAGCATAATCTGTTTTGCTGTCCTTGGTGAGCGAACACCTTCATCCCACAAGTCAGCCTAGTAAACCTCTTTTGAACTGCCTCCAATGCTGATATCTCCTTTCTTAAATACGGGTATAAAACTGTACACAGCACTGTGGGTGTAACCTCACCAATGCCCTGTATAGCTGTTGTAAGACTTCCCTAATTTAAACTCCATCTCCCCCAGCAATAAAGATCAAAATTCCATTGGCTTTTTTAATTACTTGTAGCTTCTTAATCACTGCTTAATCCTTAAAACTTCATCGTGATCTGAATCCATCTGTAACCATATTCCCCATCTAGGGGATTACCTCTTATACTATTATTTGAGTGATGGGTGGGGGTTAACATTAACGTGTGAAAGAGGCTTCACCCACATTGCAAATAGGTCAATAATGACCAAACAATAAATCTTTCCCTGGCTTAGTTGGGGGTGTTGGGGTGGCGGGGGGTGAGGGGGGGTGGGGTGGTGGGGGTGGAGGGGGGGATCCTGTGGAATATATTTGTAACTGTTCCCAGATATCATTTGTTCGGGCTGGTACAAGATGGGGACCTTGATTAACGTTCCCAGGTTCTACTGAGCATGTACCAAGCATCGACATCATGGTTTGCTACATCTCTTCCCATTCCTTCCTACCACAAGAATCTACCCTTCCCCCTCAACGTGTCTTCCCTCCTGTGGTGTGTATTTCTGTGATATGCTTAGGTTTTGCTGAATGCAACATGGTGCTGCCACCTTTCCTCTCTTCACCAGACTTGTCGGTGCCTTTTTGCCATTCCTTGTTCTCCCATTGCTTTTTATCCTTCCTCCTCTTCCACATCCCTCTTTAAATGAAGGATATTCTATTCTAAATCTACTGTATACAATTCCTCAAACTCGATTGCGCTGCTGTTACTTATTGCTTGGGGGTGTTGCGGCTGTTCACTCTGTGCCACATCTCCCCGTCAGTTATCTAACCGGATAAAGTTTGTTCCCTTCTGATGTGCTCTAATTATTATCCCTGTTGCCTCTAGTGGTCCACAAGCAGCTTCTTCTAGTTCCCTAATTACTGTCTCATGCTTAGATCTGTCTCTCCCTAAGTTATGCACACCCCTTCCCTCAGTTCCATGCTACTGTATAGTTATGTAACTACTCAGAGGTACACCTACTGTATGTTAGCCTGTCGAGTGTGGTCGCACATTAATTGTAGTAATCTGTACCCGACATTTTGATTTGTTTTCAAAGTGTTACTTTTTATGCCCACAGCTTATTGCCCATGCCTAGTTGCACTTGAGAAGTGATGGTGAGCTGCCATCTTGAACCACTGCAGTCCATGTGCTATAGGTAGACTCACAATGCCCTTAGGGTGGGAATTCTAGGATTTTGACCCAGAGATACTGCAGGAACGGTGATATATTTCCAATTCAGGATAGTGAGTGGCTTGGAGGGGAACTTGCAGGTGGTGGTGTTCCCATGTATCTGATGCCCTTGTCCTTCCAGATGGAAATGGTCAAGGATTTGTAAGGTACTGTCTAAGTATCTTTGGCAAATTTCTGCAGTGTATCCTGTCACTAGTACTCACTGCTGCTGTTATGTGTTGGTGGGGGAGGGAGTGCATGTTTGTGGATATGGTGCCATTCAAGTGGGTTTCTTTGTCCTGGATGGGGTTGTGTTTCTTGTGTGGTTGCAGCTACACCCATCCAGGCAAATGGGGAGTATTCCATCACACTCTTGACTTGTTCCTTGTAGATGTTGGACAGGTTTTGGAGTCGGGAGGGGAGTTGCTTGAGGTAGTATTTCTAGCCTGAGACCTGTTCTTGTAGCCACTGTATTTATATGATGAACCCTCTTGAATTTCTGGTCAGTGGTAATCCCCAGGTTGTTGATTGAGAGTGACACCATTGAATATCAAGGGGCAGTGGTTATTAGTCTTTTATTGGGGATGGACATTGCCTGGCATTTGTCTGCCGTGAATGTACCTTGCCACTTGTCAGCTCAATCCTGGATATTGTCCTGCTCTTGCTGCATTTGGACATGGACTGCTTCGGTACATGAGGAGTTGCAAAAGGTGCTGAACATTGTGCAGTCGTCGGTGAATGTCCCACTTCTGATCTTCTGATGGAGGGAAGATCATTGATGAAGCAGCTGAAGAGGTTGGGCCAAGGACATTCCACTGAGGAACTCCTGCAGAGATGTCCTGGAGCTGAGATGACTGACCTCCAGAAACCACAACCATCTTCCAATGCGCCAGATATGCCACCAGACAGCAGAGATTCCCATTAATTCCAGTTTTGTTCAAGCTACACAATCACTCAGTCAAATGTGGCCTTGATGTTGAGGGCTGTCACTCTTGCCTGACCTCTGGAATTCAGCTCTTTTGTTTATGTTTGATTCAAGGGTGTAATGAGGTTATGAGCTGGTGAATCCTAAACTGGGCGTCACTGAGCAGGTTATTGTTGAATGGGTGCTAGTAGAAGTGAGCTCATCAAAAATGCTATAACTATTGACGACACCTTTTCATCACTATTCTACTGATTGGGAGTAGACTGATGGGATGATACTTCACCAGATTGAATTTGTCCTGCTTTTTATATGCAGGGCATGCTTGGGCAGTTTTCCAGATGGTTGGGGTGGGGTAGATGCAGTGTTGCAGCTGTACTGGAATGCTTGGCGAGGGGTGTGGGATGTTCTGGAGGGACGTTTGCAGGCCTGTTCCTGTTGTCAGCATGTTGCCAGGGCCCGTATCCTTTGCTGTGTGTCATTGTCTGCATGCATCCGTCAAACTTCCACAGAGCATACAGTAGCCTTCATCAGTAGGAAGGAGTTTCACTCTCAAAATACAATTGATCTGTGACTCTAAGGTTTTGGAGTTGATCTGTGACTGCCACAAACAAATTCTTCAGGACTGTACAAGCTCCCGCAATACCTACACATTGTGGCAATCCTGGGTGCTTGACTTTTTCAGGCTCTCTCTTTGCCAACAAGGCTTGGTACTGGATGACAGGACATGATAATTTAATAGAAATGTCACTGAACTAGTAGTCCAAAGCATGTCCATCATTTACAAGGCTCAAGACAGGAGGATGATGGAATGCTGTTCACTTGTCTGGATCATTACAGTTCCAACAACACTTGCAGCTTGACCTCATCCAGGGAAAAAAGGAATCCACTCACTCCATCACCAAAGTACTGTGCTAGGTCTGTGAACTGCATAGAAAATGCACTGCTGTAACTCATGAACATGTCTTCCACTTCGGACACCAATATCTCGCAAAATCCCTGGAAGAACAAAGACAGCAAACATATGAAGGCAGCACCATCTGCAAGTTCCCTCCATCTTGACTTGGAATCATTTCGCTGTTCTTTTGCTGACACTGGATCAAAATCTTAGCCCTACCTTCCAAACAGCACTGCAGATGTACTTACATCAGGTGGACAGCAGCAAGCCAAGAGTAGCTTACAAATACTTGCTCGAAGACAATTAGGATGGGCAACAAATGCTGGCTTTGCCAGAGAGGCATAAAAGAATAAACAACAGCAAGCTATACTCACTGGAGTGTACATGGGCCAACGTACATCCGTGTGGAATACATGCAGAGGAGCCAGACACCCAGAAAAAGTACTGTGTTCTGTGTAATCTGGAGCTACAGTGGGAGAAGTTTCAAACAATGAGGAAAGCCCTGAGTTCTGTGCCACCTTGAACAATCAGGAGTGGAGTCATTGTTAACCAGAGACTACATAATGAAGAGCCCCAGGGACCACAGTCAAGGCAATGTCAGATGTGTGCAAGGGAGGCTTGAGATTCAGTAATTTTAACTGAGACTGACCCTCCCATCCGTTTAGTGTAATATATTGTCAGCCTTGGTGCTGTTCTTTGAATGTCTTTACTATCTCTTGGACCGCATACAATATGAAACACAGGAACTAGAAATGTTTTGATATCATTTGGTGCTTTTCTTCTCAACTCACTGTTTGCGGGAGCCAGTGAACTCATAAAGACCCAGTGGTGTGCAAAACTGAAAGTTTTAATTGTCATGTACCCTCTCAGAATTCATTGAAAATGCCTACACAGCAAGGTGACATCGAATAACAAAGTGTAGTCATGTGAAAACTAAGGGCTTCAAGGTGAACTTTTGAACAAATGCTTGTAGATGCTGCAATGTTGTACCTCTGCGCTGTCAGCTGAAGTGGTCTCAAGGTGCTGATCTCTTTCCTCCATGGATTTGAATAACTCTGGCTGTCCTCCAGCTGCCCAAAGCCTGGAGAATGCTGATAACCTGAAAGCCTTCATCACAGATGCTGGTGTCATATTCAGAAGAGATGAGGACTTGCTAGCTCACTCGGAGTGCCTGCGAGATCCCAATCACCCACTCAGATTCTACGGGCAGCTGCTACTATATCCTGTCAGGGCATACTGGACCCTCCTTACTCACCCTGAGGAGTCCAAGCTTATTGAGGTTCAAAGCTGCTGCTGAGGCTTTGCCAATGGCTGGACGGGGATGTTTTTTCCTACTAATTTCACTTACATTCTCGGTCACATGTCAGGCCTTCAGTTTAACTTTGTTACCCCTCTAGATGACATCAGCCCATTGATCCTTTCTTTCACTGCAACCAGGTGCCCTTTGCCTGCTCACCTCCTCAGCAATCTCAATCCGTACTAGCCTGCGTTGACTTTGTTGATCTTCTCCTCCAGTCTTGATAGAACAGAGACTGTTTCTGTGCCAAAGCAGCCTGAAGGAGCATCAGTGAATCAGGGAGCAACCTGAATCTACCTGCGACAATTTCAGGTCTTTGTTAGTAGCCAATGATCCTTGGCTGCTCCCTCCAGAACTGCTGTTTGAAAGTCCTGCTGACTGTTTTTAAAAATGGTCTCAGCATTGCCTGAACCAGCACATCCTTTGCCCACACTGAATGGGCAACTCTCCCCTGCCTGCCGGCGGCTGTTCATTATCCAGCTCTGACAATATTGCATTCATGACTCTGCCTACCCTGTACATGTGGCCCCACCTCCTGATTCCAGTCCTGTTACCAGGATTTTGTAGCTTCCAGTAATATCATGGCCCTTATCTTCAATACAAACACAAACTCCATTCCTGCTCCACTGACTTATCCCATTATCCTTCCTACTAACTTGGGGCAAGAACATGAGGATGCAGAGGTTCTTTTTTGCACCGTTATCCTCTTGTCATTTCATCGCTCCTGCATTTCCATTTTGTTCTTTCATTCCCTCCAGTTCCCCTCCCCTTTCTTTGAAACTAACCCCTTTCAATTGTTGCTATTTCCTGTTCTGATAAAAGCAGATGGCACTAAGACATTAGTTTTACCATATCAATACAACTTTTCTTCTAAATCAAATTTTGAGGACTTTACACTGTACATTATTATTGTAATCAAGAACTACGTTCTCATTTTACTCATTTTATTCTCACTGATCCCTAGATTGGCTCTTAACAAACTCACAGATTCCTGTGCCGAGGATCTTGCCTTTGCTCTCAGTACAAACCAGTTATTGACTCATTTGAATCTGAGGAATAACACCTTCACAGGCCGAACTGCCCGGATTCTCCTCTGCCTCATACAGACCTGCAAGAGTCTACGGGAGATTGAGTGAGTATTCATGTTAATTTTTGATAAAATACGTAAAGTATGAATGGGATTCATTAAATTTTAAATAAGTATTATTGAAATATAAACTCCAGTGAGATGAAACGAAAAAGATTTATTTATTTACAAGACTAGAATATAGATATTCTAAGTATTTTAAACACCAATGCTGTGAAAAATTATCTTCACAATACTAGCAATTCAAAAAATAAATTTTAAGTTGCACAGATCACAATGGATCATGACTGAAATATGAGAAGTAACACTTTGGTCCCTTAGAAGGAATGGGAAGTATTTTAAATTGAGACAACTACATAAGTTGTATTTTTCAAGTCTAATTATGGATATGGATCACAGTTTAGTAAGATATTGAAGCCTACAGTTTTAAAAACTCCAAATCACTAAAATGTCCAGCACGTTGATAGGATCTTGAACATAGGGGATAGTCTCTGATGAAATTCTCAATGTTAAACAACAGGATTTTCTAACAATTCACTCCCATACATGAGCATCTGCCGGGAGTTGGGGAGTCCTCAAGATTCATTTGAAATGTATCAACAGCTGCACCCGTAGTAAATATGCAGTCTGTTGAGTGGTGAATAAAATGGGAAACTCCACTTCCCTACAAGCCAAGAAAACAGTGATATTTCAACAATGCAATGACAGAAAATAAAACTTCTTCCTTATATAAAATTCAGTGAAATAGATTTTATAGCAGCAATTAATATGGTTGCATGATATTACCCACCCCAAAATCATTAGATTAAAATGACATGTGATTATAAAGTACAAGGAATTGTCGCTTTATCATTTAATTCATGGAAAATTGTGCAAATCTCATAAATTCCCTGATTTAGGAACACTCCAAAACCTGGCAGGGCCAGTCACTGAGCTTCTGGAGATTAAATCTGATCATCGAGAATTGGTTGTAATATGATGGGAAAGAGAGAGTTAAATTAATTTTACTGTCCTCTTTTGTCTGGGAAGGAGATGGTTTTTGTTTATTTTCCTTTTGGAATTAGGCCATGCTATTGGGGGAGACCCCAATATCCATGTTTGTGAAGTTCAATTTTTAAACGACATTAAAAAACTCGAGAGGATTAACACAAATAGCTCTGACGAAGATTCATCTGGACTCAAACATTAGGTTGCTTTTGCCACCTGGATGCTGCCTGACATGATGCTTTTACTTGCCAGGACTAGCTGTTCTTTGAGAAATAGTCGGAACTGCCGATGCTGGAGTCTGAGATAACAAGGTATAGAGCTGGATGAACAAAGCAGGCCAGGCAGCATCAGAGGAGTAGGAAAACTGACATTTCCTATTTCTGAAGAAGGGTCCAGACCCAAAACATCAGCTTTCCTGCTCCTCTGATGCTGCCTAGCCTAGCTGTTCGTCAATTGCTCTTCTCTAGGTTCACTTCCTTGCAGAAGGCACTCAATGATGATTGACAAATAATAAAGTCTTTGAGTTATTGGTTAAAAGCAAAACCTTAGAGCAAATGGTGATGAAAAATAAACTGGCTTTCCTCAAGCTTTAAGTATTTTCTACTGCAGAGTGACACACTATATCCCCTTCAAGAACTCTGAAGACTTCTGGCAGTGTCGTTCACACCCACAAGCTGTTCAGCTCCCCAGGAGCCAATCACACATTTGTTTGCAGACAGATGGCCTTTGTCATCTACAGCTGGTCACAACTCCACAAACCAATCAGCTACTTGTTGCAGGCCAAATCTCATTTTGTACACACCCTGTGGGACCAGCCTGTCTGCAGCCAATCATCCTCACTGATTGAACAAAGCAGTAGTGTAAATGTCACTTACAATGAGTGTTGGAAACTTGCTTCAGAATGCTGCAATCCCTTCACAATTTTAAGGTTTAACAGTGTTCTTTTCCGATTTTAGTCTACAATCAAAAATACAGAAAAAACAAAAGATAATACTTATACACTAACAAAAAACCAAAACTAGGTCCTGTTCTTCAGCCTCCTGGTGAAAATTCAGTCCCTATTAATATATTCTTCACTCTTTTTAGCCTCAGTGGTAATAATCTTGGAGATTTCGGAGTGAGATTACTATGTACGGCTCTGAAGAATCCAGACTGTAAAATAGAGACACTGGGGTAAGTACCAGAGTGAAAGACTGTTCACAGTAACTGGATGTCTGACTTTGTTTATTATCATTGTCATGAGGAATAGAGTTATCTATGATGTTAAATATTATGGGTATCTGTAATAGTATTAATATAAAACAGTGGTAGTGAAAATGGACATGGGCCAGGATGCAAAAAACTCAATATCACGTTCATTCGTGGTTATTGGAACACCAGATATTGAGATCTAATGTTGTAATATATGATTGGATCTGTATCAAATTCCGGTTGCAGACAAGAGAAAGGTGAATTGCATTATTTTATGGCCTTTCTGTCTGTAAGAGCAGACGTTTTAATTATTGATTAATGACCAACTGTGAAAAGAGTTAAGAGACTGAATCTTACTTTCTTTTGGCTTAGTGTCAATTTTATCATGTTTCATAGAGGGTTTCTGGTTTCTTGTGTTTCC